AGAACGAATTGTTGAATAATGCTTCTGAAATTCTCCTTCATCTACAAGAGTTGTATGGTGATAGGACGCGGCAAATTAGATATCAGATATCTAAAGAGCTTTTTAGGTGTTGTATGACTGAGGGCTCTTCAGTTCATGATCATGGGCTGAAGATGATAGCTCTTGTTGAAAGGCTTTCGTCCCTTGGAGTCATTATGGATAATGAACTCTATGTGGATCTCATGCTGCAATCTCTGCCATCGTCATTTGATAGCTTTGTTGTTAACTTTAACATGCATAATATGGAGACTTCTCTGCCAGAATTAGTGAACATGTTAGAGACGGCTGAATCCACAATAAAAAAGGATAAGCCGGTGCTTCTTGTTGGATCCACTTCTGGATCAAAGGCTTTAAAGTCTAAGAAAAGGAAGGGGAAGGGAAAGGCTCCCAATAAACCCAACAAGAAGGCAAATTACAACAAAGGAAAGAACAAAGAGAAGGTTAATTCTCAGTCTAATCATGAATGTTATCATTGTGGTAAAACTGTGCATTGGAAGAGGAACTGCAAGGAGTATCTTGCTAGCCTGAAAAGTTCAGGTATTTATTTTGTTGAAGTTAACTTATCAGTTAACGATTCTTCTTAGGTATTGGATACCGGTTGTGGCTCACATATTTGCAATAATTTGCAAATGATGACAAGAAGTAAAAAGCTAGAAAATGATGAAACAATCCTAAGGATGGGCAATGGGGCAAGGGTTGCTGCCAAAGCAATTGGGACTGTTTATCTAGCTTTAAATGATGGTGTAACAGTTTGTTTGACAAATTGTTTGTATGTTCCGGATGTTATAAGAAACATAATCTCTATTCCAGAATTGGATAGAGAAGGTTTTAAGTTCGTTATTGGGAATGGAAGATGTTCCATTTTCAAAGATACAACTTTTATATATTCCGGAAAATTGACAAATGAGTTATATACCATTACACCACAAAGTCCCATCCTAACTATTCAACAAAATAAAAGGAAATTTAAAAATCATAGTTCATTCACAATTTGGCATGCTAGATTAGGTCATATATCTGAAAAGAGGATTCACAAATTGGGACCAAAACTCGACCTTAGGGGAGAGGAAAGGTTGCCTACTTGTGAGTCATGTTTTAAAGGTAAAATGACTAAATCACCATTTGTAGGACAAGTGGAGCGAGCTAAAGATCTGTTGGATTTGATTCATACATATGTTTGTGGACCACTAAATGTTAGTGCCAAGGGGAACTACCACTACTTCATAACTTTTACTGATGAATATTCACGGTATGGTTATGTATACCTATTAAGGTACAAATCTGAAGTATTTGAAAAGTTCAAAGAATTCAGAAATGAAG